TTGTAAAATGAAACTGCTTCATCGAATTAGGAAATTTCTCCCAAATATTTGTTCCATCATTATTTGCAACAGAGGTATTTATATCCTAAAATCAATACCTCTATTGAGAAGTGTTAAATAAAATTTTTAAAACATACTTACCCCTGACACAATATCTGGTACCACATCATCGTCATCACTTTCATCTACTTTAGGAACATAATTATCATCACTGGACGCATCAAAATCATCATCATTATCAGTATTTTCGTCTAAAATACGAAGTAGATCCTCTTCTGTCAATGTTTTTTTCCATTCACATTTCTTCTTTACATCCGAGCAACTGGGATTTTCATCTTTATCTGCCATTTTTTAATTTAATTTTACAAATAATCACTGCTTATATGCACAGACGATGAACGTAAAATGATAACTATTTCCAATAACAGCATTCGGTAAATACCTAAAAATTAGGGTATTCCCCGAAAAACACATTACTTACTTCTTTTGTTCATTAGGGTAATCCCCGAAATCACTAGTTTATTTCGTTTTTACATCTTAAATATAAATCAACATTCGTAAAAATAGTTAGATAAAGTTGAAAAAACAGTATTTTATAGCTATGTAAATATTAGTTGTCAAACTATGAACTAAAACCAAGCACGAAATTATATAATTTTAACCTTTACTGAGGTGTCCACAAAATTAAGAAACTTTAGGTCCATTGCCGACAGAAATAATTTCTTTTGAATATATAATATATATATATATATATATATATATATATATATATATATATATATATATATATATATATATATAATATTATATATATATATATATATATATATATATATACAGAAAGCGCGCTTACGCGTCGATGGCTGTAGTCATATTTGGATGCGCGTACGCGTCATCGGAGCTGAAAGGGTGAAACAATCAATATAAAACGATACATGAAGTATTACAAACGAACATCTAATGTATTACTAATATAATGTAAAACATTTTCGGCCGCATTCAGGAACTCATCAAAAACTCAAGGGAATCGCCTTGGGGGACATTCTTCAACAATGTGACGGACGGTCTGTCGTTGCACACCACAGCCACACTCAGGAATAAGGGCTTTGCCCCATCTATATAAGCTGTTAGCACATTTACAGCTGCTTATTATTATTCTGTTTAGCGTTGTCCATGTATTGCGGGCCAGTTTAAAGCCTGGCGGTTTCTGATCGATATAGGCCATTTGATGTGCTTCCTGTAGTGAGTCGCTCTCCCATTGTCTTCTCCAAGCGTTGGTAGGTTAAAATGTTCCTGACGTAAGGAGTTGGCTCTTAGCAATGGAGGATATCTGGAGCGCAGTCTGTTTATTTCGATATCAAGCTGATCATGGTGGATGGGTAGTTGATGGTTAGCCTCGATTTTTCGATATTCTCTGAGAAGACAATGACTTCGTCGCAGTTTCGGCGGTGGAATGTGACTCAGAATGGGAAGCCAATAGTTCGATGTGGGTCTAATTGTACCTGAGATCATTCGCACTATCTTATTTAATTGGGTGTTAATACTCTTCGTGTAGTGCCATATAGTTTTTGGATTATATTATTTCTTGTTTTCAGTTTTGCTGTCGTTCTTTGAAGATGTTCTTTAAAACTCAATGTTCTGTCAAGAGTCACTCCAAGATATATTGGTGTTGAGTTATGAGTGAGCAGTCTGTTTTTGAATACATACAAGGATGGGCAGCATACGAAGCTCTTAGGAACGTTTTTAAGAGTGACATCCCAACTAATATGAAGAAAAAAGTTTTCGACCAATGCGTGCTATCGGTGATGACCTATGGTGCAGAACAATTATCGCTCACAAAGAAAAACGCACAAAAACTAAGAATAGCGCAGAGAAGAATGGAGCGATCAATGATAGGGGCCACTCTGCGAGACAGGATTAAAAATGAAGATCATACCAAATACCAAAGTCATAGACGCCAAGACCACCAACACGATGGCAAGGCGACTTACGAAAGACAACAAAAAACTGGATACAGCAAGCACAAGATAGAATACTTTGGAGACAGATGAGGCCTATATCCAGTAGTGGATTGATAGAGGCTGATGATGATGAGTCTGATTTCGAAGTAGACGAAGAGTTTTTTTTGTTTGATTGACCATTATTCTAATAAACAAAGTAAATGAAGTAAGTGAAAGATTTGGACTTCAAGTAAATATAACAAAAACTAAATTTATGATCATCAGCAAAAATAAAGTTAGAGACGCTCAACTACTTATCAATAATACACCAGTGGACCGAGTAAAACAGTATATCTATCTTGGAACAACAGTAAATGAACAATGGGATCACTCACAGGAAATAAAATGTAAAATAGAGAAGGCTAGGAGTGCATTCAATAACATGGCCAAACTCTTTAAAAGCCACAATCTTAATCTGGAGATAAAAGTAAGGCTCCTACGATGTTATATCTTCTCAATATTGTATTACGGAGTTGAATCCTGGACACTAACTGAAGCAATGGAGAAAAAACTTGAAGCCTTCGAGATGTGGCTATACAGGCGAATTCTAAGGATATCATGGACAGACAAGATAACCAACGAGACCGTACTACGAAGAGTGGGCAAAGAAAGAGAGGTGATGTATACCATTAAAAGGAGAAAGTTGGAATATCTCGGACATATAATGAGAAACAGCACTAAATACAGATTACTGAAGGTAATCCTACAGGGTAAAGTTTTCGGAAAGCGAGGAATTGGGAGAAGGAGAATATCATGGTTGAAGAACCTGAGGAAATGGTTCTCCACAACAACAACGAATCTATTTAAAGCATCAGTTGATAAAATAATTATAGCCAGAATGATTGCCAATATTCGGAACGAATAGGCACTGAAAGAAGAAGAAAACCATTATTCAGATGGAAACAGCACACTTCGGTTTTCGTTGCATTGGGCCGTAGCCTCCATTTGAGAAAGTATTCGCTCATAATGGTAAGGTCATTCGCTAGTATTTTTTCTGTGATATCCATGTTATTATATCTTGCTGCAATGGCCCAATCGTCAGCGTAACCAAATTTCTGCGAAGTTGTCCTAGGTAGGTCCGCGAGGTATAAATTGAACAGTAAGGGTGCCAAAACAGATCTCTGTGGCAGTCCATTGCTGAGCTTCATTTGGACACTTTTAAAATTGCCCATTGTGACTTGAAAAGGTCTGTCGGTGAGCATGTTATCATAGCATGTGTATGTTTTTTGTTTTCTTTGAACACCTGCTTCAATATTTGTTGTTAAGGATAGGATCTGATCAGTGCAGCTGCGGTTAGGTCTAAATTCCTTGCTCAATAGGTACCAATTCAAATATGTTTCTACTAATTCTGTTGTAGATTAAGGGTTCCAACAGTTTATAGACACAGCTCAGCAAAGCAATCGATCGGTAGTTTTGAGGTTGATTATTTGCATTTCCTGGTTTTAATATAGCTTGCAATAATGGAGGCCTTTTTTAGAGCATGTGGAATTTCTCCTGATTTTAATATATCTGTATAGAAATCAGCCAGCCCTTTCCTAGCCACAGTGGAATAAAAATTCTGGATGAATTTTATCGGATTCCAGGTGCTTTTTCAGACTTAATTTCTGATATTGGTGAAATAATTTCTGCTGGAGTAAACCCGTCAGAGTATTCAGGTGTAGGCAGGCATGCAGACTTTAGTATTTTTAATTCTTGTTTGACTTTGGTGGTGTCATCACGATCTCTAGGTGCTCTTGAGGTTGCTACAATGTGGGAGGCTACTCTGTTGGGAGCTGTTGGTACTTTGTCTCTAGTTGGGAGTCTGCTACTACCAAGTTTTCTAAGTAGAAACCATGCTTTTCTGCTTGATTTACTAATGTCTAATTTTTTCACAGTTTCTATCCATTTTTGTCGTTTGGCTGCATTCAAACTATGCAGTAATTCATCCACAATTTATCGGTCTTGGCTTTCGTTGCATTCTTCATACAATTTGTCAAATTTTTTTATTGTGGGACATACTCTTTACGATATCCTCTGGGTATAGTTGTCTTTGGTGTAGAGATAACCGCGCCATCAAATCTCATGTAGTTTGAACGTATTGGGGGTATCCATCCCAGACATTTGTCCAATCTTTCAGTAAAAGTCGCTCAGTCTGCTTTTTGAAAGTTCCACCTAGGTCGGGGAAAAGATGAAATTATTGGTATTTTGATGCCAAGTTCTATTACAACTGGTCTATGCTGGCTATCAGGAAAAACTGGCAGTACTGAACGTGAAGCTGCCAGTGGTTGATTGTTTTTATTTGTGAAAACAAAACAGGTCTGGTTTGTATTCTCGCCTCCAGGCTGCAGATCGAAAAGTTCTCCGATCTTTAGCTTCAAAGACTAAATAGGTGTCAATCTCTTCGGTCCAATTTATTAGAGCCTCGCCGTTTTGATTATTGTGCCTATACTTCCATAGTTCATGATGACTGTTAAAGTCTCCCACATAAACTGAGGGGTGTGGGTGGGCGTGAATAACATGTGGAGGCCACAGGACTGTCGAGTATATGCATAATAACGTGGATAAAAGCGCTCTGAATAATCTGAATACATGTAATAATTGTCCCTGGTATCACGCGAAATTAATTTTTTTTTGTGCATTTTTAGAAAAGTTAACTTTGAAAAGATAACTTTAACAAAATCGACTTTTGAAGATATTTTTGCAATAATAAAATAGCAAATTAACAAAAATAACTTAAAAAGCTTTCATTTTAAAGGATTTTCTTTGATATTTGGATATTCTATATCAAATAGCGATCTTATATTGTTTACATATTTTTTATAAAGTAACAAACAACATTTAATCTTTTACATATTTTGTTTATTACATATTATCATTGTTTAAACAGTTTTTTCAGTGTTTACTTTATATCGTAGGTCATCATCATTCTTGGTTATAAATACTGAATCATCTTCACAGCAAATTATGGTTTTGTCCCTTTTGTACTTCCATCGTCGTATTTTCTTTATTATTCCGTATACGATGATATTGACAAGTAAAATTGATGATACCGTTCCTCCTCTTTGGATGACATTCTTTACACGCATTCAGTCGGTAAGTCTTTATTTTATACTTTTGTTTTAGTATTTTTTATATTTACTTTTTAATTTTAATACGACTATAAAGTACTTATGATAGCATAATAGTCTATTCTTCGAAAAGTTAAAAAGACCAAAGTTCTTCTTCTTCTTTTTGTGTAGACACGACTCTGTCTACTTTTGAATGTGCCTCCATCCTCTTTGTTTCGAGCTGCTTTCTATAGCTAGATAGTGTGATGCCTAGATATTTAAACTCCATCACTTGTTTTGTTATCTGACTCTCCAGCTTTAATTTAGATCTTAGTAGATTTGCTGTCATAATTATGCATTTTGGGGAAGTTGACATGTTAAATTTTCTGGCGATTATATTAACTTGGTGCCATACATTGAAAAACACCTTTGAGTTGTAAATCACATATTGAGAGATAAGTATTGCGTCGTCTGCATAGTATATTATTTTTAAATAATCAAAAGACTGATATTTTTTGTACACACTTATGACAAGTCAAAAGAAAATGTAAAAAAGTATTTTTGAAGTGTGTATATTTTAAGCAATTCCTAGCTGAGCGCTTTCGGCTTTACAAAGCCATCATCAGAGCTATGCTACAATAAAATGTTCTTATAAGTACTAATTGGTGAAGATTTTAATTTTTAACTTACGTCAACTTATAAATACCACTATAATGGAGAGATCTCATTTCCTTATATGTCGAAATTATGATTTATTAGTTGTTGAAATTCTTAAAAAACATATAAAAAACATATAAAAAACCGACACTGGACTTCACAGACACATTAAAAAATTGAAAAATTTTTTTGTCATGGTACGGGTGTAAGAACCCGACCATTTATTGATGTGAGGAGGTAGACAGAATAGAACTAATGAAATCAAATGTCGGTCCTTTTAAACGATTTTTCAAAAGTGACAGTTGACAAATGTCATATATAGGAAATAGATATTATTTTACTATTAAATACTATTAAATTTATACTAAAATTATACTATTAAATAATTTTGTAATAAAAAAAAAACAATCTCTATTTCCTATATAGGACATTTGTCAACTGTCACTTTTGAAAAACCGTTTAAAAGGACCGACATTTGATTTCATTAGTTCTATTCTGTCTACCTCCTCACATCAATCAATGGTCGGGTTCTTACACCCGTACCATGACAAAAAATTTTTTCAATTTTATAATGTGTCTGTGAAGTCCAGTGTCGGTTTTTTATATGTTTTTTAAGAATTTCAACAACTAAAAAATCATAATTTCGACATATAAGAAAATGAGATCTCTCCATTCTAGTGGTATTTATAAATTGACGTAAGTTAAAAATTAAAATCTTCACCAATTAGTACTTATAAGAACATTTTATTGTAGCATAGCTCTGATGATAGCTTTGTAAAGCCGAAAGCGCTCAGCTAGGAATTGTTTAAAATATACACACTTCAAAAATACTTTTTTACATTTTCTTTTGAGATTATTTTTAAGTTGTTTTTCTCTCCTTTGGTATCATTTTTTCGTTCTTACTTTTGTATAATTTCATTAATAATCAGGTTGAAGAACAGAGGGCTCAGGGAATTATCATCAATGGCGTAACAATTCTTCGTGAGTTTCTGCCGCGTTTAATATTGCCTTTCAATTTTGTCGATCTTGTGCTACTGTTTGCTTTCTTACTACCATTTTCTCCAGATCCTCTCTCACCGCATTTTTTTATCCTTTTTCTAGGTTATCATACAGATCTTTTCCCATCTTGTCTTTCCTAAAACAAATTGTTTATAAGGCGCTTGTCGTTAGTGCATATCACATCTGTCCTGTCCATCTTAGTCTATTGGCCTTTATATATCTCACTTGACTTTCCTTTTCGAAGAAAGACTCGTAACTCGTTGTTGTGTCTCGTCAGTGTGATTTTTCTTGCACTTGTCTCATTATAAATATAGCGTTGGTGCATGATCTTCCCGACCTAAAACCTTGTTATTCTTTTGCTAGTGTTATAATTTTATTTAGTTTATTTGTTATCACTTCGGTTGTCATTTTATTGTTGTGTTTAACAAATTAATTTCTCTGTTAATTTTTCGGGTCCGATTTGTCTCCTTTTTTAAAGAAATGTATTAGGATATTATTATTTTGACCTCGATTCTTGTAATATACTGTTTTGTCCTATTATTTTTGCATTAGTTTTAATAGTTATTTTCAATTTTTTAATTTCCTTAATGCTTCCTTTACATCTTTCTTCTCAATATTGATCCCTAATCTTATATAGACATTTTGTTTTAACCAAAACTTTAATTTTAAAAACACGTAAAGAACAAATGATAAAGAGATAATATCCAGGATCGAAATATCACGTAAGGCTTTTATGACCTGGAAACCAGTTTTATGCAACAGAAACCTGTCAATGAACATTCGTAAGAAGGTCCTGAAATGTTATGTGTGGTCGATCATATTGTGTGGTTGTGAGACATGGACGTTAAAAACCACAATGCTAAACAAGTTAGAAGCATTCGAAATGTGGTGCTATAGACGAATCCTAAAGATATCATGGATTTCGCACACTTCCAATGAGGATGTTCTTTAAATGATTAACTCAGAACGTCTGCTCATGAACATCATAAAGAGGAGAAAAACAGAATACTTCGGCCATATAATTAGAGGACCCAAATACCATTTACTTCGCCTTATAATACAAGGAAAACTGGAAGGAAAGAGATGGATTGGTCGAAAGAAACTTTTATGGCTGCGTAATATTAGACAATGGTGTGGTTTCACAGTAGAAGAATTATTTCGCGCAGCAGCCGACAGCGAAAGGTTTTAGGAAATTGTAAACATGATGACGGCCAACGTCTGAATACGGACACGGCACCCAAAGAAGAAGAAGAAGAAAGAACAAATGGAGAGTGGTAATGAATGTATTAGTAAGAAACAGACTACAGGTAGAGATGAGCTCCGAGATTCGGCTCAAAGACCCACTTTTGTAAATAAAATTAGTATCTATACAAAAGGACATGCATAAAGAATATCCTAAATAAGAGCATGTAAACTATACGGTGCCGGATACAAATATAAGAGCTCTTGCCTATAATTTAGAAATAACTTAAACACTAACAGTTCAAAAACTATTCAAAGGTACGACAAATTTATTACATGAGAGAAAAATGCAAATAACAAACTAGAACATGAATAAAACTAAAATAAACATAAACAAACTTTTAGAACTGAAATACTATTTTCTAGTTAAGTCTTTGAAATGTCTATGAGCACTAATTCTCCTCCAAATCACTATTACGCTCATCCTAATGGTGGAGATGTGGCAACTCTGGATATCTAAGAGTACCAAGAAAGAATGCAAAAGCTTTCATTGTTATTGTTGACAGTACACAATCTTAACAGGTTCTTATCAGGGGAAGGTTATAATTTAATGTATGTGCTTAATTGGGTGAAATACTGTTTTCACCCAAGGTGAGTTTAAATGAAGTTAATGAGATAGTGAATTAGTTAAAGTCAGAACAACAAATGCTGGATCACAAAAAAGACAAAAGACAACTTTACAAGCGACTACTTCTTAAGGAAAAGAGATACGCACTTCTGCTGGTGGTTGTGTGTTCATAAGTTGCTCACACATAGGTAAAACTTTTAAATGTTGTGAAAATCTGCATATGGACACCGATACATTTCGGAAGTATCTTTATTCTAGAAAAGATTTTTCATAACCAATTGGTCCATAAAAAAATTTCATGGTCGGAGGTCTCGAAAATCATGCTTAGATCTAGGCATACAACAATCCCAGTTTACCCCAGAACTTCGACGAATTATATTAAAATTAGAAACTAACCAAGGACTAGAAGACAACAGGGAGGTGATAGAATAAGTCAAAGATCACTCGTTAAGGAATAGACAGTTTGCAGTTTATTGAAAATTTAAAAGGTACTGAAAGTCACTTCAACCGCAACAAATAAAAAAAAGTATATTTAAGTAGTGATATTTTTTTCTGATTCTGATCTGATTTTTAATGCTAGTGTAGAAAATCCTCAACTCCAAGTAAAATTATGAATGTTTCGTAAAATATTCTGAGGAGAATTTAATGTTGGATTCAAATCCCCGGCGTCTGACATCTGTGGGTACTGTGCCATGATGGACTATAAAATTACAAATTCTACAGAAAGCAGATACTTTTTACTGAAAAAAGAATACACAGGAAAAAGATAAAGAATTTCTATGAGCTAATGAAAGAAAAGGAGAAGAGAAAACGCTTTGACATGTTGCAGGTGCAACCACTTCATTAAACGCCTATCCAACAGGCTTTTTATGCCAGACAACTAGGTCTTTACAATGTTTGTGTACTAGATATTTAGAATGATTACACCCCGTACTTTTATATCTGGAATGAAGAGCAAGCAGGGCGCGCTTCGACTAACTAAAGTATCTTCTTCTCTTCTTAATTACCTTCAATCAAATGATCTTACAGATGTAACGCACCCGAGATTGTTTTGTGATGGATGTACAGGTTAAAACAAAACAATGATGTGCTTTTGCTTCATATCTTAATGTACTTTTTAGTAGCCCATGAAGCTAAACACATATTACTAATACCCATCAGGGGCCATTCTTTTTTATTAGCATATTTTATTTATAGGGTTTTTAAAACAGCAGAAAATTTTTTACGGAAAAACCTATTCTTATAAATAAAGAAAAGTGAATACCTTGAAGAATATAAAAAATTTGGAACTGTAAAGGTTCTGAAACTGATTGATCTTTGTAGGAAGTAAAGTCACTTACTAATTTGAATCACTTACCTAAAATCAGTGACACAAAAAGAATTATCATTGAGACAGTTGTGAGAAAGAACAAAGTACAGCTGATATAGGTTAAAGACAATGAGTTCTATCGGTTTCAAACAGAGCTACACAAATACAGCCTTCTAAAGTAACACAAAACTTAAAAAAAAATACTGGAAAATCCTCTTAAGGAAATTTCTTTAGTTCATCCAATTAGCGCTGCAAAATAGAAGGATGTGAA